GGGGGGGGGGGGGTCCTACCTTAGGAGAGAAGGTTCTAGAACACATGGGATCCAGGAGCTTTACGAATACAAATGTGCACACCTCAGGCTGGGAAAAGTGGAGGAAGGAGGAGGAGCTAAACCCTGTCCTTCGGAGGGTTACACCCTCCGGGGAGCAGATGATCGAAACCAGAGGCTGTTTCTCCGGAGCATGGGTGTGTTTTCCTCCTCCCATGTTGGACCCATGTTGGATGAGGGACCTGGGTCTGTTTTCACTCTTCTCCTCAGCCACTAGGGAGCTCAGAGCCAGACTTGTGGCTGCCTTGGGCAGTTGTCCCAGGTCTTCAAGTTCAGTGAATGGGGACTCCTGGCTTCATGTTCCTTTCTTGTGACGATTTTCCCCTTCACCCAATTTTTCCTCTCACTCTAACTTTTCAGGCTTCTGGGTTTTGTGAACCATCTCATTTCCTTTGGAGAACAAGGCGGGGAGTAAATTAAGTCCCCCTTCCCTTTTGGCACTCAGCAGGGTGTGGAGTGGACATAGGGCTGGTCTTCCTTAAGGCCCTCAGTGGGGCCCGCTCCCCTGCTTGGATCACCCTTTCTTCTTGCTCCTGCCTACCCTTGGGAGTCAGCTCTGGGAGTCCTGGAAAACCTGTGTTACTTCACTTTCCGACCGAGTGCTTTCTTGGGCAGGGCTCAGGACTTCTTCAGGAACCATCAACAGGGCTGGGGAAAAAGGGGCAGCATCTGTAGGTCCCAGTATAGTTTCTCAGTTCATGGTTTTGGAATGATGGAGGACACTCTGAACCAAGGAAATGTCCTAAAGTTCCCGTGAAGTCCTATAGACTCTGCAGGGGTGACATATTCCCTAGGAAACTCTTACATCAGCAGTTCCTATTTATGAAGGACCTGTGATGTGCAAAGCCCTGACCCACAGCTGCGTGCTCATTGAGGCTCAGAGGGGTGCAATGATTTGCCCAACATTGTCCAGCAGGAAAGTGGCAGCACAGGCACTGGAACCCAGGACCTTGGTCCACTGAGCCTGATTTTCTGAGAAGCCCAATTTTGTCTGGGCCCAGGAGCTAGGGGGGCTTCAGAAGCAGGTCATCTGTGGTCTTGTCAGGAGGGACTTTGAGGAAGCTCCTCTCGCCGTGGGGGCTGAGCTGAGCTGTGACAGGAGTGAACAGCTGGTTACAGGCTTCCCAAAGACTAGCAAACCAGAGACCTTGGACTGCCTGTCTGCCTGGGATGTACATTTCAAAATTTCTCTCATTGGTCTGCTCCCGCCTTCCCTAAGGAGAGGCAGCCAGGCTGCTATCTGCTGTGGCACCACCCCATGCGGGAAGGGTGTTCCAGGGAGCACCCACCAAGCACCTGTGCATGTGCTCCTTCAGCACTCGAGACCTGGTGCTGGGCACACGGTCTTCCGTCTGTGGCTTGTGAGGGAGACAGACATGCAGCCAGGCACACACAGATAGAAACAGGAGCACTGGGCTGGTTCAGGCCTAGGGGGCTGATGGGACCCAGGGAATGCACCAACCTGGCTGAGGGTGGGGGTTCAGGAAGGGCCTGATGACACACCTAAGCTGAGCCCTGGAGGATTAGCCACAGAAAGTAGGGTGAGCTGGGAGGCGGTTGACAGGGCCTAGCCAGGGCAGGCACCAGGTGGGGAATTCTGCATCCCCTAGTTCATTGCTGACAATCACCCAAAGGCAGCCACCCCCACTTCACTGCCTGGCCTTTGCCACACAGCTTCTTCCTAACTGGCCTAATTCCAGCCCTTCCCTGACTGCATCCAGCTCCCAGGGGCATTTGCTCTGGAATCCTCTGGGCCTCAGAGGATTAGGCCACTTCACAGCCATCTGGGCCACTTCACTAACCATTAATTATGGTCTCTCCTGACTATGAATGACAGCTCCATGCCACTTGTCCCAGCAGTAACTTACCTCCCTGGGCCCTGAATGGGGGGGTGGTACCCTTACTACACAGATGTGTGGCACATAGTGGGTCCTTGGTCACCATCATAATGCTGCTGCTGCCCATTGAGTATAGCCGGTCAGCCTCCTGAAGGCCAGCAGGATCTTACAGCCATCAGGACACAAGGAAGCAGTACAGACAGGGCTTCCAGGCCTCTGAGGTGAGACCTCCCAAGTTTGAAAGCTCCTCCCAGGGTGTTATCATCTGTGCAAGTTACTTAAACTCTCTGAGCCTTAGATTTCTTCTCTATAAAGGGGATAACAATGGTCTTAACTTCATAGAGTTGTTGTGGGATGAAACGAGGTAATACAAAGAGAAAAACAAGACAACTTAGTAAGGCTGGGGCAAAATTTGTACATATAAAACAATTTTATATTTATATGCAACTGATTACTAGTCACAGAACGTAGTGGAAGTGGAAGTCTGTATGCTTGGGTAAGGATACACTCAGACATTGCCTGGCCTGTCAGCTGAGAGGGCCTGGAAGTGCCATTCCAGGAGCAACAAGACCTGCTACCCAGACCTTGATTTCTAATTCCACTCACTAATAAATGAGCCAGACTCCTTGGACAAATGGCTGATTCTAGGTTTGGGGCAGGACAAATGCAAGATGAGCCTGGAGCATCTCATAGTGCCAGAAAGTAAGGAAGTTGCAGAAGGAACAAAAGGATGGTGGCATGTTAAAGGAACAGAGACTACCTGAAAGGGCTCCCGATGGCCGAAGCTGGAACAGTTTCTGTTTTTTTAATCCTCACCTGAGGATATTTTTTTCCATCACTTTTCAGAGAGAGAGTGGAAGGGGAAGAGAGAGAGAAACATTGATGTGAGAGAGATACATCAATTGGTTGCCTCCCGCACGCACCCCAACCAGGGCTGGGATGGAGCCTTCAACTGAGGTACATGCCCTAGGTTGGAATCGAACCCGGGACCCTTCAGTCCATGGGTCAGCACTCTAACCATTGAGCCAAACCGGCTAGGGCCAAGCTAGAACAATTTAAGCAACAAAATAATGTGGTTTTGGATTAAACCCAAATTACAAAATACGTATTTATGACTCCAAACTAATATAAA